AGAAGGCAGAACAGAAAGTCTATATAAAGACTTTAACACAGGAAGTAGCTCTTTTTCTGAGAGGTAGGACCACTGCAGGAGGAAGGGTAAGGTTTTAGCTCTTAACTCTGACCTCTTGGCTTTCTTCTTTACATTGGTTCTGTGTTTCTTATTTAATAACACAAATGGTTACATCTATAGCTGACAGTGTGCTGTACAAACTGAACAAGCAGGACACAAAAGAAAAAGATTGTTGAACTTTGCCAAGACAATGTGGGACAGTCCTTCAAAAATTCCCACCTCACAGAAAAGTCTGTCAGATAATCTAGGCCTGTAGGCTGAAGATGGATGTCCTAGCATTACAGAAGAACCCTGGGGTGACTCATCAGGCAGCCAGATGTCTCTGTCATTTTATAGTTTTGGAAGTTGCTTGCTCAGCACTTTCTGTTTACTCAGGTGATATTATATCCTTCTCAGGTCTCTGATGGAGTTGAAGACTAGATAGTTACAGTTACAGTTTCCCTTAGTCATGAGAGAAAGTAAATTAGGTACAAAACTTTGGATTCATGAAGAGAGGACAGATAATAGAATGTTTTCTAATAAATTTGCCAAATATCAATGAACTGGAGATTGTAAATGTATTTCTTACTTGTTAATTGGTCTTATTGTGTATATATATTGCATTCTTAGAGTTAAAACCTTTCCTCTTAATTTATACAAAAGGAGAAATGTTGTGAAATAATCTCTTTGTACTCTGTGAAGAAGTGTCACTGTCTTTTGTTTAATAAAAAGCTGAACAGCCAATAGCTCGTCAGGATTTCCAGGCACAGAGGACTCTGGAAAGAAGAAGGGCAGAGTCACCAGGAGATGTTGAGGAAGCATAACATATAGGAGAAACTAGAGATGTAGAGCAATCAGCAATCATGGGCTTTACAAGGTAAAGGTAACCAAGCCAGGAAAAAGAATGTAGATTAAAATATATGGGTGAATTTAAGTTATAAGAATTAATTAGATACAAGCCTAAGCTATCTAGTGAGCTTTCATAATTAATAAGTCTCCATGTCTGATTTGGGAGCAGGCTGGTGGGACATTGTAAGACTAGCTACAATCTTCACTCACACTTTATGAGCCGGTGAGATCAGGGAGTTCAATGTCCCAGGTGTGTGGGACCCTGGATCTGGTAACAGTTGGCTCCTGAGTTCCTCAGGCCTGTGCGGTATGGACCCCGGGGAAGAGGTAATTCTCATGGCAGAGGTACACACTGGGGATTTGAGTTTTCATCCCTGTTCAGTAGTGTGGAGAAAAATTGAGTTTATAAATCTTCTCTTTCTGTGGATTTTGACTTGATGTCTTCAAATCACAGCCACACATAACTGAAGTAGAAAGTGAAAGCAGAGGTAAGTAGGGATTCCAGCACGGAGAGTCACAGAAAACACAGGGTCAAAAGTGCTTGACCAGAGCTGTGAAAACTCCAGTCACCTCCCGATGCAGGTGTCCACGGCAGCCCCACACCCTCACCAGGACCCCGACAGCACCTGTTTCTGTGAACATTCATTTCAAGTGCTGTGTGTATTTTATCTGGAAACTCCGTGCTCTTAGGTTTCATCCTGACTAACCTGAGGAAACAGTTGTCCTCACACAGCTCAGAGACACCGTGACACACAGCGCTCCGTCCCGCAGCACAGGGTTCAGCAAAGTCTCAGTCCCCAGGCGGTGAGGTCTGGGGTGGGAGCCCAGGGCTGGGGATCCCCAGGTGCCCAGTTTCACTTCTCCAGCTCCTGACCTGTGTCGGGTCCTTCTGCCCGGACACTGATGACAACTGTCCTGTTCTCACCCCCATTGGATGACGAGATCCCGGAGAACCAATCAGCGTCGCCGCGGTCACGGGTCATAAAGTCCACGCAGCCCGCGGAACTCAGACGCCCCAGATCCGAGATGGGGGC